TCCCCATGCCGCAGCACTGGTCAACGCTGTTCTGTGCACCACACCTCGCAGGGTGGGCCGTCTCCGAAATCTTCGCTTCGGAGCGGATCGTATTTTTAGTTTTTCCTCCAAAATCCCCCTGTAGGGGGACAGGCCCGACTTAACACCACCTCACCCCGTCCCCCCCTCAACTCGTGGTCTCCCCCAGATCGTCCTGGAGCTTCCTCGGGTTCCCATGGACTTTCTCGAGCTTCTGGGGACCCCCGTGTGCCGCAGGGGCAGAGAAGGGGTGGGAAGATCGGGCGGACGGCAGTTGGGGGGGGGGCAATAAACGTGTGGCGATAGAGGATTGCCCCAAAGCGGTCCTGAACTGACCCGCAGCCGCCACCGCGGGCCAAAAAGATTCACGAAAGGTGTACGTTTCTTCATCCCACGTGTATTGCCCCCCTGTTGACGAGCACCCGAGAGGAGGAAAACGAACGGGAAAGGAGGAGCAGGAGGAGAGGGAGGGGGGGAGGAGGAGGAAGGGGAGAAGGAAAATGACGGGGAATGTGAACTAGGAGGAGGAGGATAATGAGGCGGAGGAGGAGGAGGAGGAGGAGGAGGACGAGGAACTTCCGAAAGGGATGCTGCCGGGGATCGAGTTGGCCGCCCAGGCGCGGCGTCGTTCCGATCGATCTGGTTCGACGTCGATCTTGGCCCGCTCGGCCCGATTCGGTTCTGCCATTCCGACTATCCGATGCGGCCCGATGTTTCAAGGTCACCCGCAGCGGCGCCATGATGATCGCGCTTCGCGCGTCGCGGCCTGGGCCGAACACATGCCCTTCTCAAAGACAATCTCGCGAGGGTGCGAAGATAACTTAGGAGGGGGAAAACACACAGTTGTGCATCCTGGCGCGGTCAATTCGATCTGATTCCGACCCCGTGCCAATGCAGGAGGAACCAACGCAAATTCTGGCTCGATCTGGTTTCACGAGCCGATGTTGAATGGTCGTGCGCCGTTATGGCAGGAGCTCGCCGCATGGGCCCCAGTTGGGTGGTGAGAGGTGGCATCAGGTGCCTGCAAAGGGCTGGCGGATTAATGGCAAATTCTTTTGGGAGTTCTGAGGACGATTGGTGGCAAGGGTGGGAGACGTGGCACTACAAGGCGTGGAACCTAGTCGAGATCCACCCTCTCGACTCCATCCATTATTCGCTTTGTCGACCTCCGCCTCATCCCCTTCCTCGCCGTCCTCCTCCCTCCCCCTAGTTCCTGCCCCAAAAGGCTTCTCCCGCTCACCCACCGGAGCTTGCGCGAACGCAGCGTCGGCGTGGCCGGAGAAGGTACTCCCGATTTCGTAATAAAGGGAGGGGGGTCTCATTTCGGGGGGGGGTCTCTTCCAGGCTATCTTGGAGGGCCTGGGGGGGTCTGGGGACGATGTTTTGTAGGGTTCTCCCAGGGGGGGGGGTCTAAAACTTCTCGTCTGGGAGGGTTGAGACCCCCTCCCTTTTATTACCTTTTATTACGAAATCTGGAGTATTTGTTTGGCGGGCGGTGGGGCCAGGAAGGGCTCGTGCGTCCATTCTGCTTCTCTCTCTTCGGGCGAGCGTCGCCTTGGCGCCTTCTTGTGCCGTCGTGACCTGACCTGACCCCCATCTTTCGGGTCCCTCCCCCACCAGGAAACAAAACCAGGGCCTCGACAAATTTGTTTTGCATCTTTTTGAATTATTGATTGGTGGAGACAAGCGCGGTCGTCGCCGCGCCATTGCCCTGATTTAGCAATTTCGGTCGACGCACGCGAAGCGCGCGCGCTAGGCGGCAATATGATATTGCCGCCTAGCCCACGCTCGTCGTGTGGTTTGGTTTCTGGGCTGGGTGCGCTGGTTGGCTCGGTCCAGTCGCAGATCCTTGCGCGGCAGACCTGGCTCGCTGGACCTGGAGTGCCTCATCTCCCACCTCCATCCTCCCTGCTCCTTCTCCCTTCCCGTGTCTTTCCTCCTCCTCCTCCTCCTCCTCCTCCCTCCTACTCCTCCCTCCTCCCTCTCCATTACCCTTTTCTTCCCTCCTGTTTTCTCATCCTCCCTATTGAAGGGACGGCCAGGTATTCGTCTTCAAAAGCAGGGCCTCGTGTGCCTCTCTCTCTCTCTTTTCCTCTCGGCCCGCGTGTTTGCTGGAGCCTCTGTCGTTGCTTCCGCAAGAAAGCTTCTGCGCACAGTACAGCCAGAGAGGGTCACGAGGATGAGTGGCATTCCAAGGGCACTCATTCCATCCTTGCACGTTCAGCACATCATCACCGTTCTCGCGCCCCAAAAAGGCTTCCACTTGGGCGTCCCAGGTCCCTGCGTCCATGGCTCGGCGCCCTCGGCGAGATGTCATGGGCTGGATTGGCGGTCATCGACCCTTGATCCTCGACTCTCCTCGATCCTCGATCCTCGGGGTCGAGCCGCCGTGGGACCCTACGAAGGCCCTCTTGGGCCGCCTTGGGCCGTCGTGGGAGCCCTCTCGGGCTGTCTCAGGGGGGCTGTGGAGCCATGCGTTTGCCGTCCTAAGATTTCTCCGAAAAGGTCCAGCGGCCATCGCCAGCCGAACAGCAGAGGAAGCGAGCATCAATGAACCAATCCTTACGGAGCTTGGAGCTTGACTATCTGGCTGTCTGCGGCCTCCCATGGAACCTCTCTTGGCATCTGTCGATGTGCCTCTTGGCGATGGATGGCGACTCTCTTGGGGCCGCTTGGCCGCTTGCGTCGTCGTTGAACCTCTTGCGGTCACACTGGACACCAAACTTACTATATATCGTCTGACTATGCCAGGAGACGGGAAACCCCCATCCCAAGCGGCAACATCGACCCCTAGTCACCCATGGTGTTGGCGTCAAACATGTTGTTCTTTGTGGGTTGTTGAAATGAAACGAGAATGTTGCATAATCAGATAAACGCTGATAGTTCGCTGCATTCGTGCCAACGTTGCACGGGTCAGTTTACCCCGATCAAGTTCCTGACAGTTGTAAACGATGACGTGGCAGGCGATCAGGGTGTGGAAACATCACTTGGCAATTGGACACCATGGTTGTGTAATCGTGACTCTGAAGCCAGTATCGTCGGTGGTGAAGATGCCGTTCTGCTTGCACAGGAGGTTGGTCAAACGACACCCTTTCGGTTTGTTTGGTCAGCCTCAGAGGTCGCATCTAGTTTTGCCCGCTCAGTCTAGCATGTCTTACAGCAGTGATTCTCAGGACAACTCATCGTAATAATCAACAGCATAGGGGTGGCTCAGCACTTCGAATCATTGGAGCAGCATTTGGAAAGGTCAGAGCATGCGGATGCCGACGAAGTCCCATAACAATTGATTTACATAACTCTAGTGGCATAAGTTGCATTCCGAGGTGCAATCACAACAAACATCGCTTGGCAGTATTAGCCAACGTCGCGCATGATGTTACAATAACGCTTCGGAGGTTCAGCGGGATGCCAAGTGGCCAGGAGGCTCATGTGTAAGCAGGTCGATGGTTGAGCCAGCTGGTGCCAGAGAGGTCCAGCAGCACATGGTTTTAACTCGTTGCGAGCACCTTGCTCTCGAACAGATTCCCCACGAGTGCCGGATGGCTGGATGAGGAGGATGTGGATTTGGATGGGGGTACCAAACGTTTTCCACGTTATTATTTCCGATGGAATGAATTCTAGACGTTTCGCGTATCCCCACCAGCCCGTCCAGAAACGACGCCCAGGCGAGTAGAGGGTCGTCCTGAGGGGCTTTTCGGCGTCTTGGGTGCCTCGGGGGGGCCTCTGTGGGCCGTTCGGGATCCTCTTTGGGGCCTCCTGGGGGCCTCTTGGGGCCTCTTGGGGCCATCTTGGGGCCTTTGGGGGCCTCCTGGGCGCTTCTTGGGCGCTTCTTGGGTGCCTCTGGGGGGTCTCTTGGGGCCTCTTGGGGGTCTCTTGGGGGCCTCCTGGGGGCCTCTTGGGGGGCCTCGGAGCCATCTTGGAGGAGATCGATCAACGAAGGGGGGTTCCCTAATTACAGTCCCCCCCTCAGGAGCCACGATCCTCGTGAGGGGTGTCGAATTTTAGCCTTCCCAGGAGTCGATCTTGGACGCTCTAACTACCCGCGGCCCCCCCTGTCCAGGTCAGTGGGGAGGGGGGAGGGGGAGGGGTAAACCCCTCCCCGAAGGGGAAGAAGGAGGGGTGGAAGAGGAAACGCTCTAAACCACCGACGCCCAGAGGGCTGGTGGGATTCCTCCTGCCAGGGATGGCTGGGAGTGTTGGCAAAATTGGCCAGAGGGTTGGTTGGGGTTGGCCAGAGGATTGGCCAGGATGGGTAGTTCTTAAGCAGGCAGTTCTCTCCATAGAGTGAAGCATGTACTGAACGTGATGCCGGGAAGTTCGATGACCACGACGCGGCCGGCCTGGCCGAGAGGTGGATACACATGTGCTTGGTATCGCTCGGACGTGTGCACTTTTTCTCGGCGGGGATTATTAAGGAGCATCCTGGATCATCCTGCGAAAAAAACACGCGTGAAACAAAAAAAACACAGGGAATGGACGTCCGAGCGATGGCCAGTGTGGCCAGATGCCTTTCGAGCGCGCGGTCCTTCTATCGCCGTGCATCGGCGGCTGCAGCAGGGGCGGAGATCCCGGGAGGGTGAATTTGTCACATGGGCTCTGCCCGCCCCTGGGCTACCCACGCCTTTTGCCTAGGATACAAGGCCCTTTCCGAGGGCCGCACTGCCACGGGAGTGTCAGAGGCATGGGGCCCGAGACGCAGGACGCAGAGGGTACTCCAGATTTCGTAAGAAAAGGGAGGGGGTCTGGACCCTCCAAGACAAGCCATTTCAGACCTCCCCCGTGGGAGAACCCTCCAAAACATCGTCCCCAGACCCCCCAGGCCCTCCAAGATAGCCTGGAAGAGACCCCCCCCGAAATGAGACCCCCCTCCCTTTATTACGAAATCTGGAGTACCCTTGGTTTGGCAGGGTCGACCTCCTAATCCGGGCCGCCTGTATGTATGCTAACCAGCGCGTGGCCTCCAGGTGTTCCAAATGCGAGTCCAGCCATGTGTGCTTTTTTTCAGCTCGATGGTGCAATCAAGACGCTCAAACAACGACCACCTCGGGCTCGGCATGGGCTTTCCTTTTTTTGTTTGTTTCTGGCAAGTTCCTTAGATTTCCGTCGGGGAGCCGAGCCGTCGCCGAGGGTCGCCATAGCCAGAAAAGGCTCATGCGTCTCTTATTCGGCGGTCCTTGTGGTAGCACGATGATTGGGTGATTTTCTCTTGCCCGCCTGCTGATCGCGCTCCCGCCTCGATGTGTCTGTCCCCGCTTTTCTCGGCGAGGCGCTGCAGATATACGAGGCCGACTACGCGGTGGCCGACCTGTATGAGTCTTGGGCGTTGCACCATTTCGCAGTGCTCGCCATGGTCCGGGGGCGATGGGATGGGCGAAGGGTGGCCTCCCGAAACCACGCCTCCTCCCTTGCTCTCTTCATTCTCCTCCCCCTCCTCTCCTCCTCGCCCTCCCTCCTCCTCATCATCCCTTCCTCTTACCGGCTCCCTCCTATTTAGTGCCTCTCTTGTTTCCTTTCTGCTATCTCGCTCATCCCTGCTCCCTCCTCTCTGCCCCCACCCCGCTCCGCTTCTCCTCTACCTCCTCTCCCTCCTGGAACCTCTTCCTCCTCCCACGCCCTCTCCTTATCCTCCTCATCGTCCCCCCACTCCGAAGCAGTTCTCGATCGAGCCGTTTGGACTCGAGCATAATTTGCATCGGGTCCCGACCCCTTGACCGCGTGCACGTTCGCGGCGTTGCCTGATTTTATTGACTCAACGTGTCGCAACAGGAGATCTACCCCTATGCAGGAAGTCCCTCTCGACGCCGCCGTGCCGAAGGAGGAGGATGCGCCATTAACGCAAGTTGCCGCGCTGCAGCTTCACGCTAAGCAACCGATTGACAGCGGAGAGTGGATCGAGGAAACGCAAACATAGATTAAGGCGCGTGGAGTAGTGATGGGTCCCATTTCCATGCGACATCGATGCGCTCCGTCGCCAAGTCAGGCGGCACTGACCCCACGTCTCGGAGGTACCTTCCCCGATCCATGAATTTGGCGCCCACGCGCCAGATGCACGAATCCGGGATCCATGCCAGCATGAGCACGAATGGTTCAGTCGCGCACACAACAGAACAACGAAGTGGAGGTGCAGCAGCGTTAGGCTGCGCTAGCGGTGCCAGCGGTGGCACTGAAGCTCCGTGCAAAAAGCAGGCGGTGGCACCGCGCGCAGCGCGAGCAGGTCGTGGGGATCTCGTCTCGCAGGCCCAACGGCTTGAGGCTGCCGATGCGCCAGACGTGCCGGCGAGCGCAAGATATTCAGCAAGCCGCGTTTCTGCAGAAGGTCGGTGCGGTTGCCTCGTCGTTCAGAGCTGCCGATCATATACTTACGGCACACGTCACCAACTGGGAGCTCACCCAGGCCGAGCGTTGGTTGTGGATGGTATCACCAGCCTGGGAGATCCGAGTGGTTATCGGCGGGGCACTGGTGCAGAAAAAACAGCTACCTCGATCTTAGTTGGCGTTGATCTTAATAGCTTTCACGGTTGCCCGCTGGTTTGTTTTAATGTTTAACAGTTTTCAGCGTGGCATCTTTAACACATTGTTTCTTGCGTTCTCATGCCGCAACACACACACATGCACCAGGAATGCGAAGTTGCGTTTTTGCGCTACCAGATTTGTTATGATTTTCCCCTTGGGGCCGTCGGCATGAGGACCCAATTCGGCCCACGTTATAGTTTGCATCTCGTTTTAGCCGTTCGGAGTTTTTGCGCCAGCATCCCCGTTCTGGCAGCCGATCCGATTTGCAGTCATCTTGCAGTAGCCCGAGCGTCGGGCCAGCCAGCCTCTTAGGCACCAGTAGGAGGAGGAGGGGGGAGATGAAAGAACGCGAAGCAGAAACTATGAATAAGTAACGGTGTGTTGAAGGCAGCCAGGAAGCGCGAAAGAACAGTTCAGGAAACAACAAACGATCCTTTACTCAAGAGGCTTACGCCACTCCGCCGCCCCCCCCCCCCACAGAGGGGGACATGTGCGGCTTCCGGTGTCGTATGTGTTGGTTGCAGTTTCCCGTCCTTTTGCTTGCGTGTAGTTGTTGTTACGTTGTCCTCCTCTTCCTCTTCGTCTGCTGCGGGACCTTGAGGGCTTCTGGGAGATTCTGGGAGGCATCGGAGGCGGGCGAGTTTCCCCCGTTGGGCCTCTCTTGCGCCCCCTTGGGGTCTTGTTCAGGGCCTGTTTGGCCGTCGTGGGGGCCTCTTGGACTGGCTTGGGGCACTCTTTCCGGCGATCGCAAACATGGATGAAGGGGTCGTGGATCAGCGACGGGTCCCGTTTCCACAGGGAATCGCGGATCTCCGCCGCTGAACGAGGCGGCACCAGCTGCATTTTGGGGAGGGCGCCTCCCCCGATCCATGTTTGCGCGCCCCCGACTCCTGGGGTGCTCGTAGGTTTAAGTCGGGCCTGTTCCCCTACAGGGGATTTTCGACGGAAAAAAAACATACCCCAAAAATAGTCCAAAAATAGTCTGGGGATTATTTTTGGAGTATTTTTTGACCTTTTTGGGGACATCATTTTTGTGGTATTTTCTTTATTTTTCGTCGAAAATCCCCCTGCAGTGGAACACGCCCAACATAATCGTAGGTCCTCTCGAGATCTTCTTGGGCCGTGATGGGCCGGTCTGGGAGAGCCTCGCGGGCCGCCCAGGGTCCAGGGCTTGCAGAGGCATGGGAGGGCGAGAGCGCGGCCAAAGTCTTAGGACGATCAGGGATACCTGCTTTTGAGGCTCTCTGGGAGGTTTGCTTGGGGCCCTCGTGAGGCGTCTTGGGGTGCTCGTGGGCCACGTGGAGGCCATCGTGGGTTCTCTTGAGGCCGTTCGGGCGTGTTGGCGCTCTTCTTGAGCCGTCTTAGGGCGTCTGAGGCATCTTGTGCCCTTGGGGACTACGGGTGGTGGATGTCTACTCGCACCCCAAGACAACGACAGCGAGACAGGGACGGAAGAGAGGCGAGATGTGGCTTCGCCAGCTCACGCTCTTCTCTTCTCTTCTCTTCCTTCTGCGCCTCCTCCGTCCGCCTCCTCCTGCATCCCTGTTCCCCACATCCTCCACATCAGCAGGAAGCCCCGGGCTCGGATTTCGAGTGCCTCGGCGGAGGGAGGACTGGGCACCCTCTGTGCCGGCCCCGCGGGGGGGCACGGAGAGCTGCCTGCGCAGTCGCACGCCTCGCACGCCTTCCCCCCCCCCCCCACACTGCCCACGAGAGGGCGGGGCAGGCCATGCTGAAGCAGAGCTTCGACAGCGCCAAGCACGTACTTGAGCGGTCGGCCGCCACAGGAGCGCACGCGGCCCCTTGGCTTCCGGTCGCCAGGGCAGGAGGAGGACCAGTGTGAACGCAAGGCGCATCAACGATGCAGCAGTAAAATTGCCCTCTTAGATCCCTCTTCATAGGGCCCCACAAGGGTTTGTTTTCCTTGCGGTTGCAGGAACTGCCTCACTGGAAGACAACCGTCTGAGAGTCCTCACAATCGTGCCAACACACACTTCCAGAGACTTCAGCGTTACGATACAACGTGTCTGCTGCGTCTTGGGAATCCTCAATCGACGCCAAGTCTGGGACTTGAACACCGCGAATCACTTTGATTGTCGCGTCCTGACAATCTTACGTATTGCCAGAACACCAGTCCTGGGACTTCAACCATGCGAATATTTGAAACTATTGCAAAGTATCAAAACGAATGCACGCAGCGATCAGGCGAGGGCCACAGTTTGAAAAACAACGCCATTCATCCTGAACTTGCTGCAATTTTTTGAGACGAATACGCGCGGCGCAAAGGCGAGGGCAACATGTTGAAGACCCCCCGCCCTCTATCCGTGAAGCTGTCGTAAGCATTCGAAACGAATGTGCGCGACGCTAAGGCGAGAGCCACATTTTGAAAACGGCCCGCCCTCCATCCATGATATTCTTGCAAGTTTCAAGCTTCAGGATCCATAGAAGGTGAGGAAGTATCAGGCGAAAAGCTCGGCCCACCATACCGACTCGTCTGGGGGTGCGATAGGGAGGAGTTAGTCATGAGGAAAATTAATGGAGAAGAGAAGACGAGGGAGGAGGAGGAGGAGGAGGAGGAGGCGGCGGATGAGGATGAGGACCGAGGAGGAGGAGGAGGAGGAGGAGGAGGAGGAGCAGGAGGAGGAGGAGGAGGCGGAGGACGAGGAGGAGGCGGAGGACGAGGAGGAGGAGGAGGAAGCGAAGTAGGACGAGGCGAAGGAGGATGTGGGGAACGGGTCAGGGGGAAGGGAGGGAAGCAGCACCCAATTCGATTCGATCGAGATGCGGGAGGAGAGGGCACGAGGGAGCGAGGGAGCGGGGGGGGGAGGCAGAGGGGAGGACGGAGGCACGAGGCAAAGAGGAGGGAGGCAGAAGGGGGAAGGGGATGCAGAGAGGAGGGAAAAACAGCGACAACTGTTGGGGCCCTCCCAAGAACAGCCCCCCTGCCCTCTGGGAGGCCCCCCGCGGCCCGCCGCCTCCTCAGAAGGCAGCCCTCCTCGCGCCCGCCCCCCCGTGCGCATCGCTTGGCGTTCCCTGCCGAGTGCGGCGGCGGCGGCGGCAGAGGCGCACGGAGGGCAGCAGGCAGGCCAAGGACGGGGAGGAGTCGTTCCGGAACGCTCTCGGAGCGTTCCGGAGTGCTGTGGGACGGCCGCGGCGCCCGGTGCATCCTCCGGAGCTGCCAGAGCCCAGAGGTCCTCGGTTTTCACCGCCCACAAACCACCCCAACCCAACCCGAAGGCCCCAATTTGCCCTCCATTTCCAGTTGGGGGGGGTCGGGGAACGTTGAGAAAGGACACATGAAGCCCGCACACCCCCCAACCCGAAATTCGGGTCTTCGGGTTGGTTTGGGTTGGTTTGGTAGGTAGTCAGGTTTGTCCCGATCCGATGCTGTCCCTGTCCTGGCCTCGTCTGAGTGAACGTGGTGCTGGGCCCGCTGGGTCGTCATCCTGGAGGCGGCGTGGTGACGGATGCCGTGCTGGTGGTGCTGGCGGCATCATGGTGATGCGAGTGTTCATGAAGGCTAGTGGTGCTTGGCTTCCGCACCAGTGCACCATTCAGTGCCGACAAGCGAGAGATGCATTCACATTATTCGAAGAAGAAAACATGGCATGAGCATACATGTTCGGAGGTCCACGCGGATTTCTGGGACCTGCGTCGGCATCCCCTGGCGGCGTCTCCAGTGCCGTCCCTGGCGCGCTCCGCGTGCCAGGACGGGGAGTCCAGCGCCGATCCAAGAAATCTGCGTGGACCTCCGGAAGTTTATGTTCATGCCGCCTGTTCTTCTTCTAAACTAGTGTGTATCGTTCGACCGTACTTCGCGGGGTTGAGCCAGTTGTTCTCGACATGCTACTGCACACGCACTCAAGTATCGCAGAGCCTGGCATCATTCTATGCACGCGCCCTCGAGAGACACGACGAGGCCTCACTAAGATCAACATGGCCCCAGATAGGAGGAGAGGCAGCAGTAGGAGGGCGGAGTGGGTGGAGTAGGTCGGAGGAAGAGGAGGAGGGTAAAGAGGACTGGGATGAGAGGGAGGGGGGGGCGGTATGGGAGGAAGGAGCCCGGAGGGGATGGGGACGGCATAGCAACAGTATGAGGTGGAATGTCGCATGCGAGAGAGAGAGAGGGAGAGACAGAGAGAAGAAAACAGAGACAGAGATGAAATACACACGAGCAAGAAAGAGAGAGAGAAGGGGAGAGAGAGAGAGAGAGAGACGGAAACAGAGACAGACAGACGGAGACAGACACAGACACATGGACAGAGACAGAGAGAGAGAGAGACAGTCGAGATTGCAGGCATCTGCAGCCCCAGCCCCTTGCCACCAGGGTGGGCTGCTTGGGTCAGTCCACTAAACGTGATCGGTTCCCGAGAGATGTCGTGCAAGCTCTTTATGCGAGTTGTTTCTGGATATGACTGCTGCGGCTCCCAGTGGACACGAACTCGCCGATGTTCCAGGCTTGGGCAGGGACCCTGAAGGGCATGCACATATCGGTGAGCAACTTGGCCATGCTTGGCATCTGGTCGTTCGTGATATCCTGTGCGTGTTCCTGGGGGAAGGGGTGTGAACTCAGTTGCGATGCAGGAGGGTGACATATCAGCATCGAGCAGTCATGACGCAGAAGTGGTTTGAGCGATCAGAAGCTGCCAGACCTAGAACCAGCCTTGAATCGCTCGTACGTCTGGGCATAGGGCCCGACGGTTGGCGAAGCAAGCAAAGCCGACACGTTGGGCAGGAGGAATCTTGGCGCAGTGGCAGAGGCAAGTAGCAGCAGCACGCTTGAGCAAGACGCGTATCGCGCCAGTTCTGCGGCACGTTATTATCAAGTCATGTGTTCCTGGTGTATGTTGGAAGCTGTTTGCGCGCACGATGGACGTACCCAGTTTCCTTGCTGCGCATATCGACCACCGCGCTTGGAGAAGCATCGATGCAGAGTGGTTCTGCGCCGTTGTTTCGTTTCCTTCCGGGGGCATCATTGAGGCATGTTGGGCGTGTGCTGGACCGCGTTGGGGGGGGGTCTTGGAGCTCCTGGAGCCATTTCAAATGCCTTAGGACCGCGTAGGAGCATGGGCTTGGACCTGTCCAGAGCCGTCCTTGGCCGTCTTGTTTCAATCCCGGGCTCCTCTGATTCCTTCTGGGTTGCTGGGGAAAACATTTAGAGCAACCCGAAGAGGGGTCAGCCAGAGCTCCAGATCTTGCAGGATCCTGCAGGGCCAGGGTCGCATTGACCCAGCTTTGGGTGCAGGATCTTGCAAGATCCTTCGCAATGACCCGGGTTTGGGTGCAGGATCTTGCAGGGCCTTGCAGGAGTTTGCAAGGCCTGACTGACCCGGTTCTGGATTGACCGGGGCCAGCAGATCCCCGACGGCGGCTGGCGCGCGGGACGTGGCGGCGGCGGCAGAAGGCAGATCGCACGGGCAGCCTGCGCGGGAGCAGAAGAGGCAGGCAGAGCAAGGAGTCAGAGCCCCGACTCATCAGGGGTAACTCGGGTCAGGGATAACTCGGGTTCCTTTTTCGGGAATCCAAACCCGAGTTACCCCGGACCCGAGTTACCCCGGATAAATCGGGCGCGAGTGTGCCGATGCGTCTTCCCTTCCTTCCTCGTGTTCCCCCCCTCTCGGGCCGCCTTTTTCCTGGGGGCCCCTGCCGCCGCGGCTGCATTTTCGCGATGGAATCCTGGTCAGAGCGTGCATCCGGGAGGGGGATCCCGGGAGTAGCGTCAAGTCGGGCCTGCCCCTCTATTCTGGACGCCCGAGATGGGTACGGAAAGAATGGGTACGATGCCCAACAGCGGATCTTGTTCATTCTGAACAGGATTCGCTGCCCACGCCGCCGCGGCCTGTGTCCATTCGAGACAGGAGGCCGCCTGCCCAACAGCGGCCGCTGTTGGCTTGGGACAACATTTGTTGTTGGGCATAGTGCCCATTCTTTCCGTACCCATTTCGGGCGTCCAAAAAAATAATATAAAAAACAGTCAGGGGACGATGTTTTGACTATTGTTGCACAGTTGGGAGGGATTGTTTGTTGCATATGTTTAATTATTCGCCCAAAGCCCCCCTGTAGAGGGAGACGCCCGACTTAAGAGTAGCGGTGTTGCTATATCCTCCCAGCGGCGGCCCTCGCGGGTACCGCCTTACTTCTGCGGGAGCGGGGAAGGGAGGGGGGGGAGCGTGAATGAGTCATTGACTTCACAAATTTCTTGGGGCCGTCGTTTTCGCAATCGTCGTGGTCATCTTCGTCAGGGTCGTCTTTGTCATGGTCGCGTCCGTCGCTCACGTGACCGTCTTCGTCGCGTCGCGTTCGTCGTTGTTGTCGTCTCGTCGTCGGTGGTGGAGTGGGAGCGTGAGGAGGCCTGGTGGCCTTAGATCGGCCAAGTCAAAGGTTTTGGCCATGCCGTCCGTCTGGTGCTTCGGACGGCCTGCTCGTTGCCGAGGCGGGTTGCCCGGCAACGCGTGCATCCCGCGGCGCGCGCGAGAGCGGCAGGACAGCGCCAGCTCCCCGCATCGATCGACGTCCCCGCTTGCGGGGCACTCACCAGGTTGGCGTGGGTCTCGCGAGCGGCGCCTCGGGAGTGGCGGGAATGGGCCTGGCGGCGAGAATCGAAGGAGAAACCACTGCAGAAACATACGCTCGCGGAGTTCCGCGCTGATTTCTTGGATCTGCGTTGGGCCCCCTTGGCGGCGCCTCCAGCGCCGCCCCCTTGCACTCCGCGCGCCAAGGAGGGGGGCCCGGCGCGGATCAGAGAATTCCGCGCGGATCTCCGCAAGTTTGTGTTGTTGCCGCCTCTGTTCGCCCTGAGCTATAGAGAAGCCCTAGTCGTGAGTCTCGGGCCGAACGAAAGGGGGTGATAGGGAAAGGGGGGGTTACGAAGTCCGCTGCGTGCAGCTGGTTTCGGCCCCACCGAGGGGCCCAGTCCTCGATGCGTGGCCGCCTCCGGCGCCGGGAGGCGCCGGGAAGATCAGCTACGTGAGCTGATTCTCAATCTTAAGTCGGGCATGTCCCTCTACAGGGGGAATGTCCAAAAATAGTTGAAAAATAGTCCGGGTATTATTTTTTGCGTTGTTGGGGGCAGTATTTTTTGACGTTCCGTCCAAAATCCCCTTGTAGGGGGACAGGCCCGACCTAATCTCACCCCCCCCCTTTGCTGTCCCCCCCTGTCTGGACGTCCGAAATGGGTACGGAAAGAATGGGTACAATGCCCAATAGCAGTTCCTGTCCATCTTGAACAGGACTCGCTGTCCGCGTCGCCGCGGCCTGTCTCCATCTGAGACAGAAGGCTGCCTGCCCAGCAGCGGCCGCTGTTGGTTTGGGACATCTGTTGTTGGGAATTGTATACCCATCTTTTCCGTACCCATTTCGGGCGTCCAAACTCCGTTTCGCCCGGTCCAAACCCCGTTTCGCCCGCCCCGTCCAGGCCCAGTTTCGCCCGTTTTGAGCATTTTGGGGGCATCTTTGAGTACTTGTTGAGTATTTTTTGATTTTTCGTCTAAAAAATGAGCTGATCTCAATCCCCCCCTTTGCTGTCCCCCCCTCGTTCTCGCCCAGTCCGAGGGTTCTGGCCGGGCCGAGCCTGGTCCTGAGGTCGGTGCACGTGCCTCCCCGGCGTGGCCCGGCGTGGCACGGCCCAGGGACGGGCCCGGCTGGGATCGGCGCACGTGCACGGAGCCAAGCCTACGTTTGGCCTGTCCCTCTACAGGAGGAATTCGGGAGCTGGAACATATACATTACCAGTGGCGGGCGGTTTTTCAATCCCAGGACTTTTTTGAGGGTCGGGGACGACGTCAGGGTGGTGTGGTGTATACTTTTTCGTCCGTTCTCCCGTGGAAGCAACAAAAAATGTATACACCAGGATTCTGTATACACCAGAATCCGATTTCTTGTGCGAATCTCAGCGCGGGACCAGAAAAAAGCATCGGTGTAGAAAGTTCGCTTCCTTAGGAATGTTCCCAAATGGTCAAAACAAAGGGTCTGGGGACGATTTGTTTTGACTACTTTAAACTGTTTTTGAACATCTGCGTTTGACCATTTTTCATTTCTGTTCGCCCCAGAATTCGCCTTTAGGAGGACGTGCCCGACCGAATGCCAAGCCCGGCGGCGAGCGAGGGGGGGAAGTGAGAAGGAGAAGCGCTTCTCAGAAGGCGGTGGGACTTCTCAGAACTGCGTGCGGCTTCTGAGAAGTTCTTGTTGTGTCTTCGGGGAAGGCTTAATTAGAAGACTTCTCAGAAGGCCGCGGGACTTCCGAGCCTTCTGAGAGGACCCGCCCCTTCTCGCTTCCCCCCCTCGCTCGCCGCCTACAAGCCCCTCTGCCGAAAAGGGGGAGGCTCCTCCTGCTGGGTCCTGGCCGCCGTGCTGCTGGAGGAGGCCGCCGGTGCGGGCTCGGAGCTGGGCCAGATGATCAGGACTCGGCGGCTGCGGCGGGGGCGGAACGCCGGGGGGCGTCAGCATCTTGGTATCGCTCGGACGTGTGCACTCTTGCTCGGCGGGGATTGTGAAAGAGCATCCTGGATCATCCTGGGGCGTCAGTATATTGGTATCGCTCGGACGTGTGCACTCTTCCTCGGCGGGGATTATGAAAGAGCATCCTGGATCAAGTCAAGTCAAGTCAAGTCGCCCCGCTCGCACGAGGGCGGGCCCATAGAGGGCGCGAGGGAAAAACAAGCTACAGGGCAAGCAGGAGGCGGCGGGCGTGCTCACTCGCAGAAATCCAAGAAGTCCTCCGTCATATCTGCCCAGGCAGCGAAACAACCACGCACGAATCCGAAAAAGCACGGGGAATGGACGTCCGAGCGATGGCCAGGTATCCTTCAAGCGATCCCCATCACCATCCCTTCGAGACCCCCAGCAGATAACCACCCCAGTTGGGGATACACGCCTCGAAGCCCGAAGGGAACGACCTATATCCCCATGTTCGGGGGATAAATCGGCCAGTCGGGCCCAGGCCACGCCGCTGGGGATGGGGATCGGACGAACGATACTCATGGGGGAGGGGGTGGGGGGGCGCTCTCCAGAAAAGGCCTCGCCTTCGAGGATCGGAGGAAGGCGGCGAAGGGAAGACGAGGCCGCCTCCGCTGGCGGAAGCTGGCGGAAAGCCAGCAGAAACTGGCGGAAGCAAGCTCTGCGCCCGCAAGAGGTGGCAACCTTTTGGGGTGCAGGGCTCCATGTATCCACGGGCGCCAAGCGCCCACGAGTTCGGCGGTGCTACCGGTGGGATACCCAGACTCAGGAGGAAAAGAAACACACAGACACAATTAATCGTCGATTCCCAGGAAAATGTAGGAAAATATGGGAAGTGGGGGGGAAGACGTAAACCCAGAAAATATGGGAAAATATGGGGAATCCTTTTATTTGTGTCTATTTATTTGTGTGTCGTGGGGCCCCTTCACAGACATCCGACGATCTTTTCTTTTCACTCCGGGCGAGGTTCCTCGATGTCGGTCTCCAGGGCTGGCTCTGGGGGCGTCTTTGGGGCCGTCTGGGGGCCCTCCTGCAGCGGTCTTTGGGGCCGGTTTGCCCGGAGGCCTGCGCTGTCAGAGGCGACGATGGGGGCGAATAGCCCAGGGGAGAGCAACACATGTATTCAAGTGCGCTGATGATCTACGTCTTCGAAAAAGCTCCCGGGCGAATACGTGGCAAACGGCTCCGGGTCGGGACTCGGGGCCTGCGGCCGCGCACTGAGAAGGTCGTGTCATCGGCTGTCTGGTTGTCCGCCCCCGTGTGCCCCCACCCCGAAGGGCGTTGGCCTGGGGCACTCCTGAGTGATATAATTATAGAGGGCAGAAAATACACCCCGATCATAACCACCCCTACACGCGAGGCCGTTAAACGCACTCAATGAAGGAATCAGACAGGGCAGGGCCGTTTAGTAAACGACCAGGGCCGTTTAGTAAGCGTCAATTGTCGGGTCCGGGTGGTCTTTCCTCCTTTGAATATAGGCAGTGGGAATCTTCTCAGTTCTATTCGCACATAGCCAGGACCCCAGGTATAAAGTGAGGCGGTCAGTGATTGGGCCCCGAAACCCAACGAATAAGCCAGAGAAAGCAAACCAGACTTGCCGTAGCTGTGTTTCTTCGGGCGGCGGCAGTTCCGGTTTGTGGAGAGGGGCCGTGGAGCCCTTGGCATCGCTCGGACGTGTGCTTTTTTTCTCGGCGAGAACTATCGAGGACCATCCTGGACCATCTAGCAACAAAAAAAGAATACGCGCGAAACCGAAACATGCACGGGAGATGGACGTCCGAGCGACGGCAAGGTACGCATCATTGAACCAAGTCCCGTCGGGCCTAAATCAGGGCTAGGATCGGGATAAGTCGCTCCAGAGCGTTCCGGAGCGCTCTCAGAGCGTTCCGGAACGCTCTGGAGCGGCCGCGGCGCCCAATGCATCCTCCAAACCCGCCGATTCTCAGAGAGTTCGAGCCATCCCGATCCGATGTTGTCCCGATCTTCGTGTCGTTTTAGGGCCCAGTCCTGCCGACGTCCGATCTGCGTTCTGGCGCTTCGGCCCCCCGCGGCGCAGCACACGCCGGGGCGGGGCACGGGGCACCGCCGCGCGGCGCCGGCCGCCGAGAGGAGCGGTCCAGAGCTCGGGAGCCTCGAGACGGGGGCCAGTGCAAGCGGGGGTCAGCCAGGGCACCAGATCCTGCAGGATCCTCCTCCTCCTCCTCCTCCTCCTCCTCCTCCTCCTCCTCCTCCCCCTCCTCCTCCTCCTCCTCCTCCTCCTCTTCCTCCTCCCCCTTTCTCCTCTTCCCCCTTCCTCCTCTTCCCTCCTCCTCCTTCCTCCTTCTCTTCCTCCTCCTCTTCCTCCTCCTCCTCCTCCTCCTCCTCCTCCTCCTCCGGGTCAATGCAGACGGGGGTCAGCCAGAGCGCAGGATCCTGCAGGATCCTGCGAAGACCCCCTCTGGCTGACCCGGGTTAGCGAGCCGCTCGTGGCCGCGAGGCGGCCGCGCCTATCGGCTGCCCCGGGTTTGCGAAAACCTGCGCTGCAGTTTTTGTTTTCCTGAATTGCAGTTTTTGGTTTCTTGCTGATCCGGGTCTGGATTGACCCGGGCCAGAAGATCCCCGACGGAGCTCGGGAAACGACCGAGCCGCCCACCCAGGCAGGGGCCGCTTCCGGCCAGCTCGATCCGATCCGCTTCCAGTATTCCGACGATCCGATGTGGCCCGATGTCTGAGTGGCGCCACTGTGCTTCCTGGCGCGGCCGATCCGACTCGGTTTCGACGCCGTGCTGATGCAGCCCAATCCGGCACACATATTCCGATTCGATCTGATTTCCCGCTTCGAGGCTGATGTATCTTGCCCTGATCTTCAACTTTAAAAGTTTGACGCCGGGGCACTCTGCTCCAGCCGACAAAGCCGTCTCGAGCTCGTTGTGTGCTTGGGGGGGGGCCGAAGGTGTCCCTGCCTTATCCCAAGGTGTCCCCAGTGATTCGCGCCAGTTTGGAACCCTTCAGACAGGTGCGAAAGTTTCCTTAAATTGGGCACGCGCTATTTTTCAGCGAGCCGCATCACTTGGCGAGGCGGTCTCCCTGGCGGCGGTCCAGGTCCTTTACCCTGGACGGCAGCTCGCGGCACAGGCCGTCGACGTCACAGGCGCTGTTGATCTGCGCCTCGCAGGCCTTCAGCCGGGCGCGGTACGCCTCCAGGGTCTCCTCCCAGCACCGCTTCGGGAGCGTTTTCGTGAGCCTGTCCCGCATCCACGACACCGCGGTCTCGTGGAGCATGACCTCCTGGAGCTGGCCAGGCTGCACAGAAGCGTCCGCGGGAAAAAATGCCTCAGGTTGTGGCGCCTCAACGCCCCGCGGTACTCTTCGGCGATTGCCCCTGAGCCGGCGTTGTAGAAGCCGTTTCCACGGTCCGTGAAGAGCACGCGAGGCTGCCGGCGGCCCCCGGGAAAACGCACATTCAGAGCAGATCGCACCTTCGCCACCATGATCTCGGCCCCCAGCGGGGTCTCCCCAGGGACATCGTCAGGCAGCGGCTCGATGTGGAGCTTCCCGCGCGTGAGGACCGGGGCCCACCACACCCGCACCGTGTCAGAGCTATTCAACTTGAGGTGGTGTTTGGGGCCGCGGAGGTTCTGCGATTGCGCCTGAGAGCCTTTGCTCATCCATCGTTTCTTCCCCTTTTGCGCAAGCGCCATGTCTTGCGCCTTCTTCTGGGTTCGAGGGAGGACAGAGTTGCAGAGGTCGCACCACACGAGATTGTCGTAGTACCACTGCGGCCTGTGCGACAGAGATATCACGTGCTTCGCGAAATCCCACCGCCTCCGCTTGGACACGTCGTCCAGCGCGTTCCGCGACAGGCGCGGCCTGTTATCCCATGGATCGTCTGCTCCTTCATCAAAGCAAGCCTCCCGGAATACAGTGTAGACTGCCTTCTTGTCCACAGGCTGCTCCGTGTCGGGGTTCCGGACAGCCGTCGGGCACGCGACCACGATAGCGGCGTACGTGGGCGCCTCGCCTTGCTTCTTCAGACGCTTCGCCGCCGCCACAATGGCGGTCTGCTTCGGGCCCCGCAGGACGCGCTTCCGGCCGCGAAGCCCCCCCTCTGCTAATTTCCCAGGGTGCCACTCGGGGTCTGCATCCACGCGCTCGAAGAACTCCTTGATTGACTGCGATGTAGGATGGTCGCCGGAGGGCTTCCCGGCCTTCGTCTCCCTCGCGCGGCTGGCCACGAAGAACATCGGGCCGCAGTCGCTCTTCCCCTCCTCGCGCCACACCTCGCGGAGCGCCCGCGCCCGCGCTTGCTCGCGGCCGCAGAGGCCGCCCTCCTTGCCCGCGAACCACGCCCTGTTCAGCGCTGCCTGCTCCGACATGTCGCGAGGCCAGGGGGCGCCAGGCGCCGCGCGCGAGAGGCCAGGGCCCAGGCGACTACGGACAGCGAGGAGGAAGAGAAGAGGGGCGCCAGGGGGGGCGAGGAGGAAGAGAGGAGGGGTGCCAGGAGGAAGAGAGCAGGGGTGCCAGGGGTGCTACGGTTAGCCGCCCCTACTCCTATTATAATACTACTTAAAAGTGGTGCACGGCGCATCTGCGCCCCTGCGCCCTGGAGCACAGGGGTACCATGACAATTACTATTAATCAATCGTTCCTAGATCCACTCGCGCCCAGACCCGTTCCTGCTCGGCCGCTGACGGCTAGACCCACTCGTAACCATACTTGCTCACACCCACGCACCTTCTTCACGTTGAGACCACGCTAGTGCGCAGATGCACTCATGCTCAGATGCACCCGTGATCAGACGCACGCTCATTCACATGCCCCCCCCCCCCCCGGGCTCACTCACGCACAGGCCTACGCAGACCCGGGCCCACTCATATCCAGACTCGTTCGCGTTCGAACCCAGCCCACTCGCCCCGCGTTGGGGTCACTCGCACTGAGTCACATGGACTCCCCCGGGGTGACGCCA